TTATTATTTATTTTTAATGTTTTTATGTTTTTTTGTATTAAGTAATGTATTTTTTTGAAATATAGTAGAATCTCCATAAATTAATACTCTAAATTTATAAAATTTTCTGATTCCATTTTTCAAAATTACTATATAATTTGTCTCTATATTTTAATAATCTCCTTAATTTTATAAAAATTTGAAAAAAGCACTATAGTCCCAAAATTATTAATTCTAATTAATATAAAATATTTAAATTGAGATTATTTGTAAATATTAAAATTTTCCGAATAACACAGGGTTTTCCCGACCTTAAATTAATACCTAGCAGGCGCTTGTGCGAGATTTGTGTTTTAAAAAACGTCTTCAGAATACAAGCGTTTTTTATTCGAGTGAAATATAAACTTTTTTTGATCGCAAAATTTACTTGTTGGTGTAACATATTTTACTTGCACATCACTGTTATATAATTCGCGTTTGTTTCGCGTTTTTATGGTTAGTGATGTTACTTCTACTTCTCAATGAATAAAAATAGAACTTTTTATGGATTTTGGATTTCTCAGCAAACAATATGACCATCAGGATTATAGAAACGCTCGGATCAGGCGATTCAGGCGTCTATAAAAATGACTGAACACGTTATGAATCTACATAATAGGGAAAGTAAAGAAAAAAAGAACGCTAGCTAAGCTCACATTGAATTTCATGCCCGGTTGGATAAAGATCTTAACAGTAAGAGATCTTGCAGCAAGATATGCATAATTATAATATATGTCTTCTTTAAGAGAAACAATCATACTACCAGAAGATTCATATACGAGCCAATCATGATGTTCAGCATGCTTTTGCAAATACAGTAGCTTTCCCGGCTTTTGAAGAATATTGTAAATATTAGAATAATTAAAGAATCATGATCTTTGGGAGGAGTCTCAACGTGGAAGATATCTTTTAAACTACTTGTTTGGTCAGTCGTGGACAGTAAATTGTTTCCAGCACAAGACCCCATATGCTATCCAGATCTGCAGAAACCGGCTATATGGTATTATAATTGCAGCTTTAAAAGATACTCGGCATCAAAAACTGCAGGATGCTATCCAATCCTAAATAGAATCATAAAAAAGAAGGAAAGTAGGAATGGCGCAATCAATATTATAGTACAATGCAACGTTGGTTTGGTTTAGAGTCGATATTGATGTACCAACAACATTGTCTGTATTGACATTAGTCCTACAATTGCTTCACCAGTTCGCCACCCGGTTGTTCCTTTCCACTATCATCAGGTATTATCATCAGGTATTTGATGACAGAACTCTTATGTAGGCTCAAAAGGGTCGATATTAGAAAATGGATAATATAATATTTTTCAGATTATCACAAAGGTGTAGTACGTTTTTTTTATCTTGTAGTTTGAAGTCGGTGATGTGCATATTCATAAAGATTTTGCGGTGGTTGTTGCAGAGATAGAGTTCATGCCCTAAGTCACATACTTCCCGAATGAAATACTGTATTAGAATCAGAAATATCTTTGATCTGAGTGCATATCGATTTAGTCAACAATTTATTTATGACAAGTTATTAAGAGCTTTGACCTGTAACCAGATTGCGTCAGAATTATTAGTATTGAAACGTATTTACCGAGGCGGTTGCCTGTAGGATGTCTGGATTGCCACGATGCAGAAGAATCCAGAGTATCGAAGATAATTTCACTCCAATAGTCAAAATAATTAGATATGAATGATATGTTAATGGTGATTTAATGTTATCTAAGGAGGGCAGTTCAGGAAATGTCAATCGACAAGCGATGAGCGAAATGGATCCATTATATCATCCATAATTATTTATTCGTATTTTTGAGGGTTAGATCATGTGTTTTTTGTCGTTGAGTTTATATACGACAGCATTTTAATAGGTCTTTATGTCTATTGATGGACATTTTTGTACAATATACGCAAAAACGATGGTGTGGAATTAACGAGTCTATTGATCCCACATAAAAAATCATATTTATTTTGAAACATGACCTTATACATAGTCAAATTTGTCCAACTTAATTTGTAATATCGAAATTCGTGGAACATAGTGGAAAACTTTATCTATGCAATTGAAAGCAAATTTTTAAATATTTGTTAAGTTAACAAATAAGAATCTTTGTAAATTTTTTAAAATTAAAATAATCAATAAATTAAAATAATCAATAAATTATAATAATTTAATATATTTAAATTAATATATGATATTTAATATTACTTATTTAATTTATAAAAAAAAATATAAAATTATATTTTCATTATATAATATAAGTGATAAATAAATATAGTATATATAGTATAGATTTGGTTTATAACAAAAAAACAACAATATATATACAGTATGTTACAAAAAAAATGACATTTATATTTTTTGTTATAACTTAATAAATAATTATTAAAAATTTATAAAAATTTATAAATATATAGTTAAATATCTTA